ATATCAAATTATTTATTGAAAGTAAAAAGTTTAATATTCAAAATACATTGAGAGATATTAATATTATTTTTAAAATGATGTATGAAAGAAGAAAGATTTGTCAATTAAATTATTATCCTGTACTGAAATTATAATCATACTATAATAATAACATGTAAAATCTTATATGTTATAATTATACTGTACTTATAGTTTGTAAAGATTGAAATATTTCATTTTTTCTTGATTTGGCTGACTCTTTCAAAGTGCGTTGTTTGAACTTGGTATGCTCTTTTGATTTTTTCGTGCTTTGGCTGTTTGTATTTTATTTTGTTTGATACTCTTCTGATATTTTTTGATGGTATGTTGCTTTGTTTTTGTTGATGTGTGTTTTGAGTTTGTGTTCTTTGATGGTTTTTATTTTTGCTGTTTTGTTGGTATGCTTGTTTGAATTATTTAATGTTTTATGCTTTGATTAAATATTTTGTTGGGGGTTGTTCTGGTTTTTGAGTTGCTTGGTGGTTCTTATCTTGTTTTCTGTGAATTTTGCCGATTTTGTTGTATGCTGTTTGATTATTTGGTTTTGATGCTACAAGTGCCATTTTATGTATTTTTAGGGGGGGGGGTCCCCCACTGACCGCGCGGCAATTTGATGACGTTCCACTAAACGTAGTCTTCGGGGTCCCAGGCTCGATTCCCCCTGCCGGCTTTTTTGCTGGCTTGGGCTTCCTGCATCCTTTTAACGAAAATCTGAAAAAACTCAATGTTTTTGGGCGTCCTCTTTGCGGAAACGCTGGAAAAACCGTGTTTTTTTGCGGGAAATGCATACATACATACATACATACATGCATGCATACATGCATGCATACATGCACATACATACATTACATACAAACATACATACATACATGCATGCATACATACATACATACATACATACATACATACCTACATACCTACATACATACATACATACATACATACATACGTACGTACATACATACATACATACATACATACATACATACATACATACATACATACGTACGTACATACATACATACATACATACATACATACATACATACATACATACATACATACATACATACATACATACATACATACATACATACATACATACATACATACATACATACATACATACATACATACATACATACATACATACATACATACATACATACATACATACATACATACATACATACATACATACATACATACATACATACATACATACATACATACATACATACATACATACATACATACATACATACATACATACATACATACATACATACATACATACATACATACATACATACATACATACATACATACATACATACATACATACATACATACATACATACATACATACATACATACATTACATACATACATACATACATACATTACATACATTAATTACATTACATACATTACATACATACATACATACATACATACATACATACATACATACATACATTACATACATACATACATACATACATACATACATACATTACATTACATTACATTACATTACATTACATTACATTACATTACATACATACATTACATACATTACATTACATTACATTACATTACATTACATTACATTACATTACATTACATTACATACATACATACATACATACATACATACATACATACATACATACATACATACATACATACATACATACATACATACATACATACATACATACATACATACATACATACATACATACATACATACATACATACATACATACATACATACATACATACATACATACATACATACATACATACATACATTACATACATACATACATACATACATACATACATACATACATACATACATACATACATACATACATACATACATACATACATACATACATACATACATACATACATACATACATACATACATACATACATACATACATACATACATACATACATACATACATACATACATACATACATACATACATACATACATACATACACACATACATACATACATTACATACATACATACATACATACATACATACATACATACATACATACATACATACATACATACATACATACATACATACATACATACATACATACATACATTACATACATACATACATACATACATACATACATTACATTACATTACATTACATTACATTACATTACATTACATTACATTACATTACATTACATTACATTACATTACATTACATTACATTACATTACATTACATACATACATACATACATACATACATACATACATACATACATACATACATACATACATACATACATACATACATACATACATACATACATACATACATACATACATACATACATACATACATACATACATACATACATACATACATACATACATACATACATACATACATACATACATACATACATACATACATACATACATACATACATACATTACATACATACATTACATACATACATTACATACATACATACATACATACATACATACATACATACATACATACACATTACATACATTACATACATTACATTACATTACATTACATTACATTACATTACATTACATTACATTACATTACATTACATTACATTACATTACATTACATTACATTACATTACATTACATTACATTACATTACATTACATTACATTACATTACATTACATTACATTACATTACATTACATTACATTACATTACATTACATTACATACATACATACATACATTACATACATACATACATACTACATACATACATACATACATACATACACACATACATACATACATACATACATACATGCATACATACTTATGTACATGCATGCATACATACGAGAGAGGGAGATTGGGGAGAGAGAGGCTTGGGGGGATGGGGAGGATGGGAGCAGCGGGAGGGAGAGAGGACGACAGAACACACAAGGGAGACAAGGAAGAGAGGAAGAAGGAGAAAAGGGAGAGGACAATGTCGGCGGACTGAGCCGGAGGCTCTAAAGTAGTTCTTCTCCTTCTCTGCAGTCTTGTGCCCAGTGGCCAGGCTTGCCACATCGATGGCATGTTGTGTAGTTGTTGTTTCCTTTTCCTTTTGATTTGCTGTAGTTTCCTTGGCCTTTGTAGCCTTTGCTTGATCCATATCCTTTGGATCCTGAGTAGCCTTTTCCTTTGCTCTTGTTGTATCCTCCTTTGTTGTAGTTTCCTTTGTTGCCTTTGTCGAATCCTTTGTAGTGTCTTGTTCTGTTCCTGCTCCCGTAGTCGTGGCTCCTACTGTGTCTGCTGTGAGCCCGTTCTCTGCTCCTGTGGTTTGTTGTGCTGAGGCTGATGCTGCTTCTCCTGACATGTCATAGTAGTTTGGCATGTGACTGCTGGTGCTGCGGTTGTAGTACTGACTGCTTGCTGGAGCTCCCCTATGTTTAGGATCTCAGCTCCGCTACCACGTTAAAATCGGTTGCTACTTTTACTGAAGTGCAGGTGCTGTACTGTTCAAACAAACAGTCAACCAATGTAGTCTGCAGCTGCCAACCTTTTTGACTCATGCGAAGTAGTGAGCTCAAGGCTGCAACACAAATGCAGGAAGTGAAGCATGTAGTTTGACATGTCTCTCCCTCTCTTTCTCTCTCTCTCTCTCTCTCCCTCTCTTTCTCTCTGTATTTCTCTCTTTCTTTCCCTTGCTCTTTCTCTCTCTCTCTCTCTCTCCCTCTCTTTCTCTCTGTATTTCTCTCTTTCTTTCCCTTGCTCTTTCTCTCTCGCTCTCTATCTCTCGCTCTCTCTCTCTCTCTCTCTCTCTCTTTCTATCTCTTTCTTTCCCTTGCTCTTTCTCTCTCTCTGTCTTTCTCTCTGTCTCTTTCTCTCTCTTTCTCTCTCTCTCTCTCTCGAGAGAGAGAGAGTCCAATATGCCAATAGTGGAGGAACTGTGTACTCTGTGGATGATTCCTGTAAGGCGCTCTGCTGCTCTCCTTCTGCAATGGCTGCAGAATGAGCACTGCGTTACCTATGATACAAGAGGGGCCTTGAGCCAAAATGGTAATGGATGTTACAGGGTCAACATGCGAAGTCAAAGCAAGACAAGGGTTTTCCCCATGATGTCCGAAGAAGTGATGATTCAAATAGGGTGGTGGTGATGCTGATGATGCGGGAAGCCAAATCCAAAAACCAATGAAAGGGCGCAAAAGCCAAAAAGCCCGAAGGATGCGAAAAGCCAAAGCCGCCAAAAGCCGCATAAACCAGCGAAAAGCCGCAAAAGCCAAAACGCCACCTGCCGAAGAGGAACTGGGAATGCAGATGATGCGAAAAGCCAAAAAGCCACCAAAGCATAAACCAGCAAAAAGCCGCAAAGCCCAGAAGCCCAGAAGCCGAGAAGCTGAAAAGCCAAGAAGCCAAGAAGCCAAGAAGCCAAGAAGCCAAGAAGCCAAAAAGCCAAGAGCCAAGAAGCCAAGAAGCCAAAAAGCCAAGAAGCCAAGAAGCCAAAAGCCGAAGAAAAAAAAAAGAGAAAAAAAGAAGGAAAAACAACTAAAATAAATACCCCTCCTCTGTTTAAAGTGCCAAGGCGCGATGCAAGCCAAATCTCTTTGAAACACATCTGTGGGTATTCTCTCAGGCTTGCTCGGTCAGAGCTGTGGCTAGCACCTTCATGGCGCATCTAACCGACCTCATGACTGAGCTAATGGATGCACTGAACACGAATTGGCTTGCTTCCTTCGAGCAAGTGGCTAACTGCGAGCTGGCTAACACCATCGTGGCGCATCTAACCGACCTCATGACTGAGCTAATGGATGCACTGAACACGAATTATGTCCGGCTTGCTTCCTTCGAGCAAGTGGCAAACTGCGAGCTGGCTAACACCATCGTGGTGCATTTAGCCGAGCTCATGACTGAGCTCGTGGACGCACGCAAGTGATGCATGCACAAAAACTTGACCAAATCACAACTCCGAATTATGAAGACCACTCGAGACATACCGCTTGAACACGCACCCCAAAGCCAAAACTGCGCCGCCTCCGCTGATCGGGTTCTGGCGTGAATGAAAACGCGCATTTGTTGCCCCGCGGAGGGAACTGGTTCTGTACGCATTTTTTCCAAGGGGAGTGGCACAGGCAGAAGTCGGGCACCGCGCCGCCGGGACACCGAGACTCGGACGAGTCGGCATAAGTCGCCTTGGGAGCCGGGCCCCTTGAGGCTGCGAGCTGGGAGCAGTTGGCCCACGCCGCGATGAGCTGATTGGTTTTCGCCCCGTGATTCACACATGCGTTCCCCTCCAGGATGAGGCCATCCGACAGACCGTCAGACCGGCAGCCCACCACGGCGTAGCCGTCGGGGCATTGGGCCACGGACCTGCAATCGTTCGTCTCGCACTGCTGACCCCAGACCTGCACCGGGCGCCTGGACTCGATGTCCGCAATCTGCTCCTGCAAAGTGTGGAGTCCGGCAGCATCTGAGCAGACGACCTGCCAGTTCTTGCCCATTTCCTCATCTGACAACTGGGCCGAAGCCAAGTAGAGTTCGAGCCAGCGGGTGCACATGATGCTTCGCAAGGTTTTGCTCCTGGCCCAAGTCCAAACTCCCAGGCATCTATCCACCTGGCGGTCAATGACCCGCCAGTTGGAGTTCAAAGTGCCGTCCAGGCTCCGCCGCCAATCCGCCGGCGCGGTCCCCGAAGCCCCGCCTTTCCACTCCTGCGTTACCTCCAGCGTTGATCTCTTGGTGGCCGCCCGGTTGATATCTCGGCGTCCCAGCACGCTGCTATTCGAAGAGGCTCCCCCCTTCGCGAACTGCCGCTCCCCTGAAGCGGATGCGCTTACCCCCGAACCACTGCCAGACACTGAGAAAGCTTGCTGATTCGCTGTGGCCTCCGTCTCGTCCAGGGCTGCGCTCACGATGTTGCTCATGTCCACCACCTTCTGATCATGCGCACTGTGAAAGCTGGCTGTCACCTTCCACCAGCCTCCCAGAACTACCTGCGGGCAAACGTGGGTCCCATAGTGAAAGAACAGCTCGTCCACAACTCGCTTCATAGTCTGGTCCATCATTCCCTCTATCGTCTTTCGCGTTGAAGGCTCCTGGTCGCCGGCAGAGGGAGCAGGAGAGGTAGGAGCGGGCACGGCGACAGCGGTGACATTGACCTCATCCTCAGGCTCGGTCTCACGGCTGGTCAATGGGACTAGCTCCTCCTTCAAAGAGAAGAAACTGGGCGCGAGCGTCACGTTCTCCTTGTTGGAGGCGAAGGCGCTGCCGATGTGAGGGGTTGTCAGGATGGCAGAAAGCAAGGTGTTTTGAAGAAACTGCCTGGTACTCGCATGGCGTAGATTCGCCAACTCCTTGTCAACATCATCGCCAAGAGACAAAACCACCGTCACCCAAGTGTTCTGATAAATGTTGACTCCCTTGCTCTTGCTGGGCTTTGCAATCGCCACTGAAACAGCCTCTGGCTCAAGAGAGCTCGTGTAAGACAGAACTGCATTGGTGATTGCGTTCTTCATGCTGTTTGCAAGAGCTGGCTGGAGAACAGTGGTGCCGTGTTTCAAATGCGTGACCAGAAAGGAGATCAGAATGATACGCTGATTCTGAAAGAGGCCGTCATTCTCGGCGCCAGGTGTTCTCAGTGGGGGTGGCGTACACTCATCAGCCCCAGTATGATTGGCGTGAAGCGCGCAAAGAGTTTCTTGGATAAAATGGAGCGCTTTCTCAAAGTCTGAAGTAGGCTGCAGCATGTCCTCAGAGATCTGAATGCGTGCTCGTGGCTCCAAGTAGTAGCGAGATCTGTAGAGGCTCTTGCGCTGGGAGTTCAGCTTTTGACTGGATTGCTGCTCGTTTTGCTCCGCAGAGCCTCCACTCCTGTCTTCTCTCCAGGCTCCCGAAGCTTTCACGGAGGCCGATGATCCGAAGCCGGAGAACCTCACGGAGGCCGCGCCGGAGCTCTCGCTCCTGGAGCTGAACATGCTCTCGCCCATCTCGGAGAACAATTGGCTCGCCTCATGTCGGAGGCGGTCTCCGTCTCAATGGAGAACTCCTGGGAGGTCATCGTGGGCGCTGTGAGCACCAGCGCGCGAAGCTGAGCGTCGGCCTTGGAAGCCATGCCCGGGGTGAGCTGCACGACCTGTCGGTGCGATGCTGCTCTGAGATCAGCGCCGGAAAGCCTCACACCACTCATCATCCCCGCTTGCTGGATGAGGCCCGCGGTGGAGAGCTGCTCTCCGTTGACGAAGCCGCCAGAGCTGGCAAGAGCATCAAGCCTTGCCGCTCCTCGGCTGGTGTCCAAGTCGGCTGCTGCCAGCTGGGCTTGCTTCAGGGCTTCCTGAGCTTTTGCCAGGTTCTGTGCCGCTCTGTCGCGCAGCGCCTGCGAGCCACTCTTGGTCGCATCTTGCATTGCTTGGACCGCATCCGAGAGGTAGGTCTGGGAGGAGCTCAGGTCCTTTGCAACTTGCTCTTGCAGAGGTCCCAAGAGCTCCGCTGCCTTCTTTTCACGCGCGATCTGGTCATCCAAACTCGTCCCCTTCCCCTTCTTTGCATCTTGCTCCGCCTGCTCATCTTTCAGCTTGGCCCCCAGAATGCTGCCCAACTGACCGTTGAACAACTCGCCGTTGAAGGTGCTGAGCTGGGATGCCTTGTAGATGCCTTGATCGGAGAGGGACTTCGAAAACTCCTTCCGCGTCCCAGCACTCGGGAAAGGCAGCTTTCGGACGGCGTCCACCAGATCCGGGTCCATGTGTGCCTCTGCGTTCAAATTGAAATGCAGCTCCGGCTCCGCCCCCTTCTTCCAATCGGGCTGCTTGACCAAGGCACCGTCTTGGCGCCATTTGATGCAACATGCTGGGCGGAATCTCTCGCCGGGAGCCAGGCTGCAATGCAACTGGCATTGATCCACGGATCCGATGAGATTGCGGATCCGCAGCATCTCGTCAAGGGAGTTCACCGCTTCCCCGGCAGAACAAGCCTTGATGGTGTCCAAAACTCCGGTCACGCCCACAAGAATCACTTGGCCAGGGTCGTCACATGGATCATCCCCTTGGGCCACACCACCAGGCAATTGCGCAGCATCCGCTGGATAGTCAATTGGCGGCGGGTCTGGGGCACCGTGAGATTGACTTAGCTGGAGAGCACAGAAGTCCTCCTCCTCGTGACACATGCCGTGCACGCAATGCACGAACAACCAGAAGCTCAAGGCAAACCTGGCCATTGCACAAGCGATTGCTCTCGAAGATCAAAACTTGGGCCTTCAGCAAACGCTGCAAGTCGACATGTTTCCGGTAGGAAAAACCGCTCGCACTTCGTGATTCTATCACGCGACCTCTTGCCTTGCACGGACGAACCGGCCAAACGACCAAACGGCCAGCCTCCCCCGTCGCGAAAAGCTGAGCACACAGTCTGCGAGCCAAACGGCAGTGGGCCAAGTAAATTACATCAACTGCTGAAGCACCCGGACACTGAGCTGAAACCGTGACGCAAACAAACAAACCGGGCCAAATCCTCTACGGGACTGTATTTGTCAAACCTTCGGATGCCAAAGACCAGCTCATCGAAGACACGAGTTGATGCAGCCTGCTGTCTGCCGCCCTCGGCATGCTGCTCTTCACAAGCAAATCGAAGAGAAAATTGGCCCGGCGCAAGTTGCCTGGCCCCCTGTGTGACGCGGTGCGACGGCCCGGTGCCACACAAGTTAAAATGTCACGGGTGTCTTGCACACACATGACATGATCTCGGCCACGACCCCCCCAATGGCGCCCCACAATCAAGTGTCGCTCTCATCTCAAGAGGTCACAGAAGATCCGCGGTCTCCCTGCATCCGCTGGCGAGTCCCCCTGCCTTCTCACATCAGCGCATGCCAAGTTCACGCCCGAGGGCTCTGGAGGTGTGGGCGCGAGCTCTGGAGTTCACGGCGCATGCCGAGCCGTCGGCATTCAGCTTTTCAGAGCTTCAGTCGCAGCGCCACTGCGCTGCGCGGCGCCAGGCTGCGAGGCGTCAGGCGTCAGGCGTCAGGCTTCAGGCGCTGCAGCCAAGGCACGTTGCGCTCTGAGAATTCGGCTCCGACTCGCGATCCGGCACCTGGCACAGCGCGCAAGGCCCTACATGTTCGAGCGCAGTAGATGTGGCCTCTACAGTGAACTTGATGGCATCCGCAGCCGCCTTGGTGCGAAGATAATACCTGAGCCAAGGTCTCAAGGCGTTTCAGCGGTCCAATCACAAAAGTCGAGCGACGCGCCTCTGACTCAATGTGACTTTGTTTGGTTCGAGAAGTGACTCTCCCATGTCGCCTTCGCATTTTGCCGGCCGGGGCACATGCCGGTCTTCAGCCCCCTTTGCCATCCGTGAAAGTGCATTGAGGACAGCTTCGCAGTGTTGGCATCTACCATGTGGATGTTCCTGCAGCGGGCTGTCCGAAAACCAAAGAACGCGCAAACAAAAAATGCTTGGACGCCAAAGGCATATCGAGATTCAGGGACTGGGACTGGTCAATGAAGGCACCGCGGTCTGCTGCCATATCCACGACAACTCTTTGCTTGATCTCCCAAACAGTCTTGTATAGCTCCTCTCGCGAGCTTACTCTCTGCTCTTGGCAAACCATTCGTTCAAGCAGACCCGTTGACAACTCGTTGGTTTAAGCAGTAAACCTTCATTCACGGGAATCAAACTTTTTGTGCGCAAGGCTGCATGCACCGCATGGATGTTAGCTGTGTCCTTTAGGTCGTCTGGGATGTCAAGGGCCTGGACGCTGCCGTTGTGCCGAATCAACTGGACCCGCAGCTCCTGGACGGTCGGAAAAGCAAAAACCCAAAGAGTAGCTTGTTCAAACCGTCAAGAAAGCACAGCAGTGGAAAGTTCAAATCATCAACAAAGCACACACACACAGCACGCACTGCGCGCTCAGAAGCCAAAACGCCCAGTTTCGGGCACCGATTCTGCCCGCTCTGGCTCCTCACTCCACAGACCTCGCTGGATGAGGTCCCGCAGCAGGTGGCGGTTCACCTGACGCAGGGCTTCGGGTTGGTCTTCCTGCCCTCCCTCTTAAGCGGCTCGACGGCTCGACTCAACGGGCCTGCACGAACTCCCCGGAGAGCACCCGGCGCACGTAGAGGTTCTGGGTGTAGGGCTCGAAGGACTCGTTGTTCCCCAGGATCTGGGCGGTGCTGGCCGTGGGCATGGGCGCCACCAGCAGGGAGTTCCGCAGGCCGCTGCGCGCGATGCGCGCCTTGAGGCCGGCCCAGTCCCAGCGCGCGCTGGGCTCCACGCCCCACAGGTCGAACTGCAGCCGGCCCTGGCTGGCCGGGCTGCCCTCATAGGTCTCGTAGGGCCCCTGGACCTCCGCCAGCTCGCAGGAGGCCTCGCAGGCCGCGAAGTAGATGGTCTCGAAGATGTCCTGGCCGCTGGACGGTGCCAACTGGCGCCAACAGGGGGCGGTTGACGCATTTTCTCCAGAACTGAAGCAAACCAATCGAATCATCAAGGAGTGGTTCGGAGTTGTACTCGCTACTGTGCGACACGCACTCTTCAGCTCGCCTGGTTGAGTCGCTTGGCCGCCTCGCTCTCAAACGGCAGCTTCCTGGGGCAGGCAGATCTCGACATCTCGCGTCCGACCGGATGCTGCATGGCCGACCAAACGCATGCGGACGCAACATGCCGAGAGATGTATGCCGAGTGTCATCATGAGGAGGGCATCCGCAAAGCCTTGCACACCCAAGCCTGAGACAAAGCCGCGTTGCCTAATTGCCCAGAAGAATAAACGAATTTCTTGCGTGGGGAACAGAACATCGACAGCTCACTTTGCGCCCTGCCCACTGGCCGATGCCGCATGTTGGACCGGCGAGCTTCCACGACGGGATAGTAATTCCGGTCGATGACCTGCGACACGTGCCCAAAAGGACCCCCAACCGCCCCGCATCCCAACCGCACATCTCCCCCGCCCTGCACATGACTGCCACGCCTTGTTGAGGTTGCGAGTCACGACCTTCGTCACCTCATACAACTTCTGGAAGTCGTAGGGCTGGCCGTCTGAGGCGAAGGAGGGCAAGGCGATGGAGGCCAAGTTGCACACGGCCACCTCGTCCGCCGAGGTGTACTCGATGATTTCCGTGCACAGGTTGGAGCAATGGATGGTGCCCAGGTTCTGCTGGTTGGATTTCCGGTTGGCCTGATCCTTGTACAGCATGTAAGGCGTGCCGGTCTCCATCTGCGCCTAGCGTCTGCGCCTTGATGGTCTTCCGGCCCTTGCCCTCCGCTTCCAGCCTGGTGTACATCTTCTCAAAGTCCTCGCCCCAGACGTCCATCAAGCCCTTGCCGGTCTCCTGATCAAAGGCCTCGTTGGGGCAGAACAAAGTCCAGTCCTGATTGCCCTTGACCCGCTGCATGAAGAGATTCGGCACCCAGAGTCCCAAGAAAAGATCCCGTGCACGTTGCTGCTCCTTGCCATGATTCTTGCGCAGCTCGATGAAGTCAAAAACGTCCGCATGCCATGGCTCCAGATACATGGCGAAAGCGCCCTTGCGCTTGCCGCCGCCCTGACCCACAAATCGGGCCGTTTCGTTGAAATTTCGCAGCATGGGCACCAGGCCGTTGCTCTTGCCGTTGGTGCCGCGCACATAGGAGCCGCTGGCACGGATGTTGGAGACCGCCACGCCAATGCCTCCGGCGGACTTGGAGATCATGGCGCACTGCTTCAGCGTGTCGTAGATGCCCTCGATGCTGTCGTCCTTCATCTTCAGCAGGAAGCACGAAGACATCTGGGGCTGAGGAGTCCCGGCGTTAAAGAGAGTTGGGGAGGCATGGGTGAAGAGCTTTCTGGACATGAGGTCGTAAGACTCCAAGACAGACTCCAAGTCACAATGTATTCCGCAAGCCACGCGCATGATCATGTGCTGTGGGCGCTCCACAATCTTGTCATTCACCTGGCTAGATCTGTGCAAAGTAAGTCCACATCACACAGTCTTGTTTCCCAGTTGAGACTGGTACCAACCATTCAATTGCCGTGCTTTTGGGTTGGTGTGCTCAACATCACAATTTATGGCTGAGCTTGCACTGTTGCACTGTCACCCCATTGGCTTTGCCTTTGCTGGTGCACCTCAAAAGGCGTCCTCAAGTCTTTGTGCGTCTGATTATGCGCTGCCTTTGTCTGGCTCTGAGTTTTCCCAAGACTGGCCAACCTGCATGATCGCAAGTAGCGTTGCATCCTGTTGTGCATGGTGTTTGGCAACCGTAATCTGACAAAACCCGTGTCCTTGCCGCACATGCTGGAATGGCGATGCCCTTTTGAAAAAGCTGGCTGAATTAATGCATTAATGCACGTTCCTCGGCGAAACCAACATGGGACCTCAAAATCAACTTTGAAAAGGCAGTCTGAGGCAGACTCTGCAAATATACCTACTGCCAAGCTGTTACACGGGGCGCACCCGCAGCAGATACGACTTCTCCAGGGTCTTGAAGCCGAAGTAGTCGTAGCCCAGATC